GCCACGCCGAAACCAGTAGGGAAGGTGAAAAGTCAGCAAAAAATTACTCGAACAAATACGATCCTCGTCCTCAGTAACCGCATGCTACCCCGTTCTCTGTGCAGGACGATCGCCGGTGTGCTCTGGCTGGAACAGAGCAGCACTTGCTACGCTCATGGGTATGCCTGAACCTACTCGGAGCTGCAAGAATGTTGCTGCCCTGATCATCGGTACTAGGAATGCTCCAGTGATTACAGTATTGTTCTATGCGGAGGCGTGAGCGTTTCGAGGAGGCTGGGTTTGGCGCGGCGCCAGCCTACTGTCCATCAATTGTAGACTTCTGACAGCTTACACAGCTAGTGGAGAGCAGGTTGGCCCCGCGCCAGACCCAGCCGCCCTGAAACGCCTTAGTGCCCGCAAAGAACGAGGCTCTGACTAGCACTACTAATAGTCACTAACTACTACTAATACTCTGCAGTTGGTCTAATGTTCGAACATCAGCTTTTTCAAGTTTTTGCACTTTTGAAGCGAATATTCCAAATTCCTTTCGAGGATATCATTTGAACACAACTGTTGGTCTGGCCTAGGGGAATTTTGAGCAGCGCACTTCCTTTTATGACGCTCGATTCCATAATCCTATCGCCTTCCTTCGCTGGTTTTGACCATTCGGGTTTCCTTCCAATTTCTCTAGATTTCCCTCTGTACCTAGAGACACATTTCGCAGACTCGTAGCTCGAAGTACCAGCTTTAAACTATACAGAAGCCCACAACCATAGCCCTTTTGTTTCCTGCCATCCTCTATATCTCTCCACGGGATGAGCTATCAGAGTGGGTGTCGCATCCCAAAAGGGATTTATGGACGGCGAAGACTTCATCCTTTTAACCTTTACCTCTGGACTCGATTACTTTTTCCAACAATGGCTATGATTGCCCCTGAACATTCCTTTTTTTCTCATACCCCTTATTATGAATGTTGAAGCATTTTGACCTTGAGGTTGCTTCCAGGAAAAGTGAATTATACGTCGACGATCCAGGTCGAGAAGGAAAAATTGATGTTGAAGTGGACGTTTCATTTCCAAACATGAAATGCGAATGTTCGTTGCCCAGGTCCTTCTATCTAAAGGAAAACTAGACGCAAAATTTGACAAAAAATTCGGTTCAGACCTCGGAGTAGATATACAAGACGAGAATGGTCGCCATGAAGTCGGATTTATTGATCGAACTGAGAAAATTCCAATTGAAAGTGATGGGTGTCGATTCAAGAGCAAGTTCGAAATCAACAAGGTATGAAGTCTGTGGGTTTTGTTCTCGAGGAAAAAAATCGATTGCTGAATTTTTTAGGTGCCTGGAAATTTCCACATTTCAACACATTCCGCTGCAACTCAACCGACACAACCTGATATGCGACACATTATTCACTCGATACGCTTTGGTGATGATGTTTCGGTAAGACAGAAACTTCTCGAAGAGAAGTAAAGAAACC